CTGGTAAGAACAATGTCGCGGACGTGCTGACCAAGAGCGTGGGTGGATCTCTCTTGAGGAGACACATGGCGACGCTCAACATCTGGGATCGGGCACCGAGTTCGACCCAGAAGGATATCAAGTGAAGGAGTGGATCGAATCCATGCTCCGCTACCTGTGGGGCTGAATGAGTTTCCGCCGGTGGCGGTATGATCGCACCGGACGGGTGAAGTGAGGGGCTCGCGGCATGGCCGCAGCCTGGCTGACGAGATGGGCGCGTCGGCTTGGACGCGCCCGCGTGTGACGTGGAGATGGGCGTGTCGGCTTGGACGCGCCCGCGTACGACGCATGTCGTGCCTGGCCGGGTTGGCGGCCAGGCCCGAGGAGGAGTGATTCTGACACCCTCCTCCGTGTACCCATTTTGGCTCAAGATGGAAAAGAGATATCTTGTCCATCGGCATAATATATCATCATTCTTGCTTCATCTAGGACCGAGGATCGATGAGGCTTCTGGGCGGTTCCGGGCCATCTGGGAGGTCCTAGATGGTTTTGTTTCGACGGTCCTGCGGGGTCCTCTCGCTGTGGTGAGGCGCCCCCCTGGTGGTGGCACCCCCGTGGCGCTGCCTGGCAGGAGGCCGTGTGCGGAGACATCTAGATGCGAGCTGCACCCAGCGTGCAGCGTGGGAGAATGACGGGGGGGACGCAGGGAGGGAGGGGGCCCTCCATTCGGAGCGCTTTTAGCGGCGCTTTTCGGGATGCGCGTGGGGCCCCCTTCAGCATACCCTTTGTGGCGGTTTTCGAGGCTTCCTTTGGGGGAGCCCTTCGGGGTGGCCCTGGGGCCGGCTTTCGGGGCGGCCTCGAGGGAGGGAACTCAGAGGAGGAAAAGGTACCACTACCGCTCCCCTTGCCTTCTGTTCTGCTTTCTGGGCCTCCTTTGATTTGAGGCCCTCGTCGCCACGGCTGGATTCGCTTCGAAATTCTGGTCAGAACGCACCCCAGGAGAGGTCCTGGGCGTAGCGGTATCGGTACCTTTTGGTTTCCCCAGGGACGAGGGTGAGCGGGAGAGGCGGCGTTGAGAGGAGCTCCCGCAGAGGAGATCAAACGGGAATGGGGAGGGGAACACAGGGAGTCGAAGAAGATCAACCACCAGCGAAACGAGAAGAGAGAGAGAGAGAGAGAGAGAGAGAGAGAAAAAGAGAGAGAGAGAGAGAAAGCGCACATCTATCGGGAACGGAGACCTCCGGGGAGTCACGGAGGAAGCGAGAGCCACGACTAGTGCATGAGAGCGAGCGTAGCGCGCAGAGCGAGAGCGCGCGGAGGCGGGCGGGAGAGGCGGAACGAGGCAGCCGGCAGGGGAGGGGGAGGAAGGGCGGGCGAAGCAGCGCCGAGAGGAGCGCGGCGCTCAGCTGGCCTCACCTCCTCCAGCTCCTGCTCTTCCTCCTCCTCCTCCTCCTCGATCCTCCTCCTCCTCGATCCTCCTCTTCCGCCTCCTCCTCGATTCTCGTCGATCCTCCTCCTCCTCCTCCTCCTCGTCCTCGTCCTCGCCGCCCTCCTCGCCGTCGTCGCCCTCCTGGTTCAGGAGATGTAGGGAGAGGTGGAGGAAGGAGAGAGGCCGGAGTAAGGGCGAGTGTCGGCTCCGCGCGCTGGGGAATTGGGGCGCGCGGGCTTCGAGCCAGGGAAGGGGGGGCTCGGAAGAGGGGGCTTTCGAGGTCGGCACAGAAGTCCTCGGCAAGGCAAGCAAAAAGGAAGAATCGCCCAGGCAGAAGAGGAACACAGGAACACGGTCCCGGGCCAGGGGTCCAGGCCGGGCGGGGAGGTGGCTGGCTTGGGTGGAGAGGAGGGGAGGGGGGTTCTGTAGCAAATCATGGGAGGTTCATGTACCCTCGCAATTCCATCTTTAGCGTCGACTAGCGTCGATGAGCATTTGGTAGTCGATGAGATAGCGCCGATTTAGCGTCGATGAGCGTCGATGAGCGTTCTAGCGTCGATTAGCGTCGTTTTAACGTCGATTTAGCGTCGATTAGCGTCGATTCGCGAAAGCCGACAAGATGGTATGGGAAGCTCCCATGAGTTGCCACCGGAGGGGGGTACGGGAGGGCAGCGGGCGATGGGCCAGGAGAGGTGCTGCGCGGAGGGCAGGGCAGACGACTCGGCCATGCCACGTGTCTGCTGAACGGCCCCCGTGGCGACGAGGCGCACCTCCTGCGCGGTGCGGATCCGGACTCTGGGCTGGAAGGGCTGCCCGAGAGGCGTCCCCCCCCCGCCGTCTCGAGCGCTCTCTCCCGTGGAAGTTTGGGGCAACTCGTTGGGTGTGACGTGCTGCGCGTGTCATTCATTTGTGTGTTTTGTTTTTGTCTGCTTGTGTGTGTGTGTGTGTTTTGTTTTGTATTTTGATTTGATTTCAGTATGTGGGGATGGTTGTCGCGCCGTGGACTGCTTCCTGCGGGCCCCGGTGCCCCAGACATGGTGTGCCCTCAGAGGCCCGAGCGAAGAAACGCCCGGGCACCGCGGGCGAGTCTGTCTGTCTGTCTGTCTGTCTGTCTGTCTGTCTGTCTGTCTGTCTGTCTGTCTGTCTGTCTGTCTGTCTGTCTGTCTGTCTGTCTGTCTGTCTGTCTGTCTGTCTGTCTGTCTGTCTGTGTGAGTGTGTGTGTGAGTGTGTGTGTGTGTGTGGCTAAACCCTTTTCTTGGTACCAGCAGCACAGATGCCCGTTTCAGCAGCATCGCTACTATGCCATGTACCGCGTCCACCACGGCGTCACTATGATGCAGCAGCGAGGGCCCTTTGCGCTTGTGCACCGCGTTCTGAGCTCAAAGCTTGTGGTGTGCACCTGTCCTCCATGAGTCCTCGCTGCTCTCCTCCTCCTGGGCCGTCTGGTGCGTGACCTGGGCCGCTCGCGCAGGGGCTCCTCCTTTCCAGAGGGGGCCGGCTCCGAGAGCGCGGGAACCTTTCCTACTGCGCTCCACGCCCCGCGCAGCCTCGGGCGACCCTGGTGGTCTGAGCCGCGCCGCGTCGACTCGGCGGTGGCCCGAGAACGGTGGTCAAGGGTGATTGCCGCGGAGCGGCCCCGAGGATCGGCCTACGTCGGCCGGCCTGCGCCAGCTGTCGGAAAGCCGCGATCTCACGTGCAGAGCGGCGACCTGGGCGGCTTTGCCGCGCCGCGCCGCGTCGACCTTGGTGGCGATCCTGGAACGGCCGTTCAAGGTTCCCAGACCCCCTCGAGTCATGAAACAATCACGACGGAAGGTTTTTCGCTACTTTAGGCCTCTGGGAGCCTTTACCAGGTCTCGGGACCGTCAAAAGAGTAGCGCAGGATGAAAAGTTGGCCCCGGGGAGTGGGTCGAGACCTCTGGGGGTCGATTTTTTATGAAAAAGCATGACATCGAGTTTCGTGGTTCGTGGGCGAGAAACATAGCCGTATCCGCGGTCTCGCGGGCCAGGCCCCTGGGCCGCGACCCCGCGCATACGGGGCATTTCTGTCGCGGATGCACCAGGGGGAACGTATTCGCGCGACCGCGTATCTGCGGGATCGCGCCCCAGAATCCAGACCGCGAGGGCGCGGATATGGATATTTGGGATATTTGTTCGCTGGTCGTGATGCCGCCAGCGGCCCCGAGGATCGGCCTTCATCGGCCAGTCTGCGCTAGCTGTCGGAAATCCGCGATCGTCCTGGTGAGGTTCGGGTTGCGCAACGACAGCCCCCTCTCAGGTAGTCCTGGCTGGCCTGAACACGCCCCTCGAGCATCGGGGCTCAAGGGACGGGGGTCAATGCAACCGAGGGTCAGCCAAAGCGCCGGACCTTGCAGGATCGTGCAGAGCCAGGGTTGCACTGACCCGGGTCAGCGTGCAGGATCCGGCAGGATCCTCCAGGATTCTGGGGGATCCTGCGATGCCGGACTGACCCGGGTCTGCCTTGACCTGGGTCAGTCAATCCCCAGGAGTAGTCCCAGTAGGCCTCAGCATGCCCCCCGAATAGTCCAGGGCGATCTCGACACCGCAACCCTGGGGCGTGGAGCGCCCCAGGGGCGCCGCTGGAGGCGGCGCCGGGGTGTTGAGGCCGCTCTGGACTGTTGGCAGGGCCTGATAGATCCAGCCGGGACTACTCGGGGGGCTTGTTGAGGCCAGTCAGGGCACCCTCGGGGGCTGTCTCTGCGCAGCCAGAAGCCTTACACGCCTTTCAGGGCTGACGGATCCGCGCGGTGCCGGGAACCAGTGCCCGCTTCGTCATGGCACGAACCAGCCGTGGATGGCCTCGCCATGGCGCCGAGGCAATGAGGGCGGCCTCGGAGGGCCCCGCCGCCGCAGCGCCGAGAGGAAGGCGGCCTCGGACAACGCGAAAGACCTCGGGGAGTGGCTCGCCGTCATCTACAAGAAGACGCGCCTGGCCGCCATCACTCAGGAGCTCTGCGAGGTCACAGTCAGATGCCTCTGCGATGGGGCCAGGGGCTCAAGGAGCGGCACCATGCTGGGCGCGCTCGACAGCGAGGACACGGTGAGCTCGGACTTCACGACGGAGCTGGATGACGGCCCCATCCCGGGCAGCCCCGCGAGTCCGGATGTCGGCATTGATGTCGACAGGTTCACGGGCGCACTGCTCGAGTGAGCGGGCGGACTCTAGAGCGCCCTTCCCTCCGCGTCCTCCTTCCTCCTCTTCTTCTTCCTCCTGTGTCGAGCTTGTTGGCGGCTTCTGCTGAAGCTGGGAATTCAGTTGCGCGAGCTTTTGGATGTCGCAGTTTGCAGCCTGCCCTGCACCCGCGCTCGCACCTCTTCTCTCCTCGGCCTGGGGTCGGTAGGCGCCACAGGGTCCCAGGCCTCACCGCCGTGCCCACATCTGGTCTCCGATGGTCTGCCAGGGCTCGGGCTCTGCTGTTGCATGGCCCTGCTGTGCCCCCCTCTGGCCTCCGTTGGTCCGCCACGATTCGGGCGCTGCAGGCCTACCTCTGCGATGAAGCATCGCGCAGGAGGCAGCCTTGTCTGGTCTCCTGGTCGGGCCTCCTCTGGTCTCCGATGGCGGCCACACGGATTTCACTGCTGGCCTCGACTTGGTTTTGATGAAGAATCCGTCGGCGCTTTGTTTTTGGACGGCCCTCTTGTCCAGAAGGCACGCTCCAAGCAGGGCTGTTGTATTGCAGTCGTTCTCTTCTCCTCCCTCCTCCTCCCCCTCTTCTTCTTCCTCCTCCACTACGTATATAACAAGAATCTTGAGCAAGGCAGCGCACCTCAGCATATTGTTCAGTCAGAGGCCTGGTACCATAGTGTGCATTATAGGCTCGGCCATCGCCGAGTGTTTGAGGTGCGTTGCGCCCTCGAGTCGCGATTAAGGGGGCATGTGTCGTTGCGCTGGCATCGCTCCCCAGGGAGAACAAGAGGCGTCTGCATGACACATGACCGTTCGGACCTCCGAGCTCATGTTTTTGCATACGGTGCTTTATTTTTCTTCGAGTTCGAGTATGTGATCGACTACATAACGGATTGACCCCAAATTTGATGACTTTCCCGTCGAATGTGCGAAACATGCGTTGCATAATCTGCACATCTACAGAGCATCAGTTGTTTTTTTCGTAGGTTCGACGGGTAACCCATTTTGCGGCACACCCATTCTGTAGTTCATCTCGTGGTTTCCGCATGCGGTGCTCGGAGGGCTAAGGGCTCTGCTTCGGCTCTGCGGCGCTCCGCGCCCGGCGTCTGCCGCTGGCAGCCGCTGCGGCCCGCCCGCGGCGCGGGGGCCTGGCCGCGGCTTTGCGGCTTGCGTGCGGGCCTGGGCTTTCCGCTGCTCTCGCTCTCGCACACTGGAGACCCATGCCAGGAAACACCCTGCTTGCCTCCAGGGTGCCCTGGGTTTTTTGGTTTCGATGGTTTGGCCGTGGAAATCGTGATGTCCCCACACTCAAAGTCAATGGACGTCCTGGGGTCTCAGGGTTGGGTTTCGTGTGGAAGGTTTCTTGTGGTCGGGCCCCTGACCAAAAACAGGAAGAGCGAAGGAGGATTGTTTGGAGCGGTGCGGACCGGCGAACGTGTATTCCCCACCCGACAGGCTGGGGTTGTTCGACATGGAGGGTTTCCATGTGGGGCGAGACGAATCGTGCGCCAGGTGTGCTGGAAAGGGTTTCCGGCGGCATGCGTCCGAACCCGCAGAGTTCGTACGTGGACGTTGCCTTTGCCGAGATGGGCGACACACGGCATATGCTTGCGCCCACGTGTGCCGCAGGTGGAGCCCCCACTCGCGGCGCTGAGGGTGTTATGCGGGAATGCGCGCCGAACTTTGCGTGCGCGGGGCGGCGTGCGCTCGCGCCCGCTCGAGCCGTACGTGGAATTCTCCATGCGGAGCGCGAGCCGTGTGGTTGGGTGTGCTAACATGGGCGTGGGGCGGCATGCGTCCGCGCCCGTTGGGCCGTACATGCAGCCCCCTCTTTTTCTATGGGAGCGCTCACTGCCTGAGGGTGTGTCGGGGAATGGGTGCGAGGGGGCATGCGTCCTGCGCCCACTGATTGTGGCCGCAGGTGGAGCGTGCGAGCGATGTACCGAGATGGACATATGGACGGATACCAAAAGCAGGGAGAAGAGGAAAACGAAAGAGGATGAGGAGTTTGGAAAAGGAGGATGAGGAACAGGAGAAGGACGGGGAGGAGGGGGGGTGGGCCTGGAGGAAGATGGGGAGGGGGTGAGGACAAGCTAGGTGCGCTCGCGTCATATCTGACATCCTACCCCTCCCTCCCATCCCTTACCATGGCGCAGATCCCTTCTCCACTCGCACAGTCGGATGTCGAGCAGGGCAATGATCCCGAAAGGGTACGCGATGCATTGTAGAGCACGGCATGGCATGGCGTAGAAGAGCACCGTGAAGCGTAGTATCAACCTAGCATTGCATTGCATGCCGTGGCATGGCACGGGAAATGGCGCCAGCGCTGCAGCGGGAGCACGAGTCGAAACGAGCGGAAGCGCGGAAATGAGGCCAGCGCTGCAGCGGGAGCGCGATTCGGAACGAGCGGAAGCACGCCAGAATCGGCCCGGGACGCTTCCCGGGCGCCACAAGCAGAAATTCAGCATTCTCAAAAGAAAAATGTGTATTGGAATGGCCTTTTTTCGGCGCCGCCTCGGAACTCGATTTTCCGGCGCCGGCCGGAACCGGCTCCAGACCCGGCCCGGGCGCCGGCCCGGGCGCCGGCTCGGGCGTCTGGCCCGGGCGCCGGCTCGGGCGCCGGCCCGGGCGTCGGAATCGGTCCGGAGGCCTCCCGGGCGCCGGAAGCAGAAATTGAGCATTTTCAAAACAAAAATGTATGTTAGAATGGCCTTTTTTCGGCGCCGCCTCGGAACTCCATTTTCTGGGGGCGGCCCGAACGGGCTCCAGACCCGCGGCGGCCCGAGCGCCGGCCCGGGCGCCGGTTCGGGCGTGCAGCCCAGGCGCCGGGGGAAATGATGCCAGCGCTGCACCGGGAGCACGATTCGGAACGAGCGGGGCCCGAAAATGAGGCCGCGGCGCCTCAGCGAGAGCAGCATTTTGTGAAAAAAGTGCAGGCGACAACCTTTCTCCGGGGAAACCTGTGTGTAAAAAACAGTACGCGGGGGGGGGGGAAGAACACTCCCAAGACGTCATCACGAAGACAAGGCAGCGGCGGTGTTCTCGCGGCGCTGGGGATTCAACTCTGGGACCCTATACCACACGAGTGCTGGCATTCAAAAAGCACACGTACCAGGGGTTGTCGTCGTCGTCGTCGACGGCGTCTCCACCCTCATCTTCCGCATCGGGGCCAGTTGGCAGGCTGATCTAGGAATCCTTTTCAATCACAACGGATAACGGAGGGCCGAAAAGATGCAACATGAGCGGTGTCCTGGTCTTCAATGGACGTTGCAAGAGCTACTGTTCGTCCTCCCCCTTCCGTCCTTTCCTCCATTTAATTTTGACGCCACCGTAGAACCTGCTGGATGCTCTTGCGCTTCCATAACACAATCCTTCTTGTTCTGGTCGTTTTTCTCGTCGCCATCCTCGCCATCCTTCCTGGAATAGTCCAGGCCCGTGTGTACGGACGTGTGCACCCAAACACATGTTTTTTTTGATTCGTCACCCGATTCCTCGTCCTCATTCTCCCTTCCCCTCCTCCTCCTCTGTCTCCTCCTCCTCCTCGTCCTCCCCCTCCTCACTCCTCATTCACCCTCTTCCTCTTTCTCTCTTTCTCTCTCTCTCTCTCTCTCTTGTTCTTGTTTTCCCTTCCCCGCGGCTTTGTTGTGTTCTTTGTTGCGGATCCTTTGACGAATGTCAGGTTTCCAGACGAGTTTTTTGTTTGAATATAGGATACGGATTTAGCTCAGAGCGAAGCAGACGTGGTTAAGATGCTCAGGAATCTCAAGGCGAAGCGGCAAAGTATGTTCCAGTTGTGCAGTCGGGAAACGCAAAGACTTTAACCAACTCGATGACGAATGTTGCATCATCAACTTCCTTTTTCTGGACACGGCGTCGAGATTTGGAATTGCGAAGACTGAAAGATATTTAGAGAGGCGGTGTTGCATGGGCCACTACCGCGAGACCGAGTTCACGAATCGATTGGCGCAGGTTTCTACGGCAGCGTATGCGAATGTTCGACAGCGTGCTGACCCCGCTTGCTTGGTAGGGTGTGAATGTTGGATGATGGGCATCGCCTCTCTACCTAGATTTGGAGTTGCCCGGGGAACGACATTGCGCAGCATGTTCTGTGTAGCGAGAGGTGACGCGCCACTGTACGAGTCGATGCTATTGTAACGACTATGACATCACATATTTTTGGCACGCTTCAAGCACACATCATGGCACTACGCTGCGCGACTCACAAAGGAAAATCGAACAAACTGTTTTTAGATATGAAGCGTTCGTTCAGAACTGTAGCCGAACGCTCTGTCGGCAGACCCAGATTGAGATGTGGCGACGCGCTTCGTATATGACGAGATCGTGGTTGTCTCTCTGTTCCATTTGCGATACGCTCACGGCGTGCTGCTGGCTGCCTCCTTTCCTCCTCCTCCTCCTCCTCCTCCTCCTCCTCCTCCTCCTCCTCCTCCTCTTGCCCTCCTCAGCCATTTGCGCATTTTCTCCGAGTGTAATCTGTATCTTCATCTAGTTTTCGGCTTGCTCAGCGCACGGTCTGCCCTCTAGGGGACGGCTCCCGTAATCGGAGCTGGCACGCAGACTTCCCTTCCGTTTCGTGCCTCCTCCCCGCTTGTTTCTTTTGATGGTTGGACGAGAGGGTGAGGGGGATGGAACAATGAACAAGGGCAGGAGGATGAAAGGGGATGATGAGGATCAGTAACAGGGGGAAGCCGAGGGGCAGCAGGAGGGAGGAACATGGTATCCTTCTGCCCGCTCCGCCCCGCGGCGCCCAGGAGACGGCCAGGGCGATCGCTCATCCTGAAGGCCCGTCGGGATGCAAGCCCAGGGCAGCATGCATGGGGGGGAAAGGGCCGGGAGTAAAGGCAGCAGTTGGAGTCCAAGGACAGTGTCCAAACCGCAGCCCAATATGAGGGTACCTAGTTGGCACTCTTGGGTGCGTCGGCCTTGTTAATGGCCGTGACCGAACTCGGCCGATGTTAATGGAGGAGGAGTCGGGCTTTTGGAGGAGGAGGAGGAGGAGGAGGACAAGGAGGAGAAGGAGGAGGAAGAAGAAGAGGAGGATGAGGAGGAAAGCACCTGACAAGGATCACATGTCCGCAGTCCTGAGTCCTGAGGAGGAGGAGGAGCATGAGGACGGGGCAGGAGAAGGAGGAGGAGGAGGAGGAGGAGGAGGAGGAGGAGGAGGCAGGAGCAGGACGCGGAAGAAGAGGAGGAGGAGGAGGAGGAGGAGGAGGAGGAGATGGAGGAGGAATGGGATGAGGAAGTTGAGGAGGAGGGGGGAGGAGGCAGGAGGCAGGAGGCAGGAGGCAGGCGTCAGGAGTGCGGAGGAGGAGGCAGGAAGGAGCAGGAGGCAGGAGGCAGGAGGGAGGTGGGGGGGGGATGGGGCAGGAGGGCGCAGGAGGTAGGAGGCGGGAGGCCAGATCACGAGTCAGCAGGACGAGGGCAGCGGCCCCGGACAGGCCGCGGCCGTGGGGATCGTCGCCGCCCTGGCGCTCCTCGGCGTCGTGGCCGCCGCCCAGGGGGTGCCCCGCCGCCACGCACCGCGCACTCGTCGGCGACTGCACAGGGTTACGCCTGCGCCGGGGATCCACCCATACCGCTACTCCTCCTCGCTCCTCCTCCTCCTCCTCCTCCTCCTCCTCCTCCTGCCACGTCCTCCTCCTCCTCCTCCTCCTCCTCCTCCTCCTCCTCCTCCTCCTCTCCCCAGGCAGCCTCGTGCGCCGGGGGTTTCGCCTTCTTGGGTCTTCTGGTAGGCCCTGGTCGCCAGCGCTGGATGCACCCCGGGAGAGGTCCACGGTGCAGCGGCCTCGGTACATTTTGCTTTCCCCAGATCCAGACATTCAGCGCCTTGAACAACATCAGGACAGAGGTTTTCTTCATTTTCGGCTTGGGGGCCACGACCGAGCCCGAGGACAGTCACAAAACGACCCCGACGGAAAGTTGGCCTTGGGGAAAGGGTCGGGACCTCCGGTGACCGCGCATGGACAACAATCAGGACATCGCATGTCCGGGTTACGCCAGGGTGTGGTCAGCGATCTGTGTCGTTGGGGCTCGAGGGGCGCCACGTTGCCCTCGGGCGCGGTGGAGAGCTCGGTCGAGGGCCTCGCCCGCTCCCCGAGGTGCGAGTTGCAACCCACACGCCGCTCTGCAAGTCACACCCGTCGGAGTCGCCTACTTCGGCGGACTCCTCGCGCCGAGATCCGGGCGATCCAACGCTCCGTCGGACCCAGGGCCCCTCGAGTCATGAGACAATCACGGCGGAAGGTTTCTCTGTAGTTTCAGCCTCCGGGGGCGCGGGACCGTCAAACATCTATTGAGGATGAGAAGCCGGTCCCGGGGAGCGGCTTGAGACCTCTGGGGATCGACGTTATGACAAATCATGACGTCAGGAGTCTGGGTCGCGTCGTTTTTGTCTGTGTTCGTTTGCGGTTGTTTGTCATTTGTTTGGCTCCCCAAGAAGCTGCAGGGTAGGCTGCCAGGCTGCCGTGCAACATGTGTCAAGCTGACATCCCCTCCGGCCTGCGGGCCGCATGCCCCGACCCAGACCGCAGGGACACCGAGCCTCTGATGGCTGCTGTCCGGCCGCCTGCGCAGTCCGGCGCGCGTGTAAGGCTACGGCGCCACGGCCACGTCGCGTCGTGGCAGAAATCGCGGCGGACGGCTTTTGGCCGCCTTCGGCCCCTGGGGACCCTCGCTGGGCCCCGCGGCCGTCAGGACACGGCCCGGGTTCAAGAACCAAGCCTGGGGAGAGGGCTGGGACGTCCGGGGACGCCGCACTGACGCATGACGCCGGATGTCTGGCTCTTCGACGATGGCGGCGACATCTTGGGCCCCCGGGGCTGGTCTCGGGCTTCGGGCACGTGTCAGCAGGGCTCGGCGCGAACCACCTGCCCCTGGGAGGATGTTTCGAGAGGCTGGGGCGCACACGCGTCGGACACATCGGAGCATCGGACGCACGGGCGACGACGACGCTGTCCGGCGACCAGGGCGACGAGGTTAAGCGACGGCGGCGGCAGCGGCGACGCCGACAGGCGACGGCGACGACGGCGGCGGCGCTCCTCCTCCTCCTCCTCCTCCTCCTCCTCCTCGGTCTCCTCCTCCGTCCTCGACCGAGTAGGAGGATGGAGGAGGATGGAGGCCGACAGGGGTTTGGCAGGGAGGGCGCCGACAGGGGACTCAGGAGGGTGGAGGGGGGGAAGTAAGCGGAGGAGAGCAGGGGAGCAGAGGAGCACGGGAAGGAGGATAATGGAGGATAAAGGCGGAGCGGGGGTCCAGCATCCAGCAGCCCGCTCGGGCCGCGTCCTCCGGGTACTCGGCCGCCCCCCCCCTCTGGGTCAGACGCAGCCCCAGCCAGCTCTTCTGCGCACGAGGCCGCCGAAGGTTCCCCAATGCCGACGGGCGTCAAGGGGGCCATGGTCGACCGTGTTTTCTGTAAGGAGCCTTTGGCTTGGTGTGTCGCTCCGCCGGTTCTGGCCCACCACGCTTCGGCGCGACACGCTCTCCACGTCCCAGTCCCCTAGGCTTCCACGTCCCGAGTTTTTCCCAGCCTCCGGGCCCGCGGAGCAGAGCGATACGCCATGAGCTCGCAGGGCATGGCGTGTCGCTGGGGCCGCCGCCGCGACACGCTGAGCAAACGTTCCTGACCGTACAGTTGGTGCGATGGTGCAGAACAGCCCCAGCACTGGAGTTTCGGGCGGATGGTCAGGGGGTGTGGGGGGCGAGATGGGGGATACAGAGAGAGGCAAAAAGCCCCAAAGGGACCCCCTGGGGCCCCTGCTGGCTCCACCAGGGGTCCTACGGGGGCCACTCGAGGCCCTTCTCTTCACCCCCCATGTCGGCCACCCCCCATTACCACCCACCGGAGAGGGGTGCCCTGCTCTTTCTGCTCGGTCCCCTTCCCCTGATGTGCTGTTCGTGCGGGGTATCTCCGAGTGGCCTCGGGCCCTCTCGGCGCAGGGGCCCATGCTCTCGGCCCACGTCTTGGCGGTGCGCTCGAGGGGGGGGGGGTCTTCTCGGAAGTCATGGGGCGTCATGCACATGTCGCCGCGCCGTCTGTGCCGACGCACGGCCTTACGCCTTGGGGAGGGCGCCGCGGCCACCAGGGCAAACGCCGCCTCGGACGCGGTGGGCTTGCCGTAGGGTTTGCCGCGGTGTGGGCTTCGTCTACTTGGGGCGCGGGGCGCCGGGCTTGCTGTGGGGTTGCCGTGGTATCGGCGTCGTCAGCCTTGTCGCGTCGAGAGCAAACGGCGCGGCGACACGTTGTTGTTGCCAGCGGCGATGTGGGACACGGAGCGTCGGGCAGCAACAGGGGGCCTCTTAGAAGCCCTAACGGTTTCCGAGAAGCCTTTCTTTGAAGGCCTATGGAACCTTCTAAGAAGGCCCCTGCCTTGCAAGAGGACCCTCGGCCTCTCAGAAGGGCCTCGCCACCTTCGCAGCACCCCCGTGTCTGCGCCATGAAACTCATGCATCCTGCGGCATGAGTTTTTCAATCTGCGGTCCCAGAGCTCCCGACCCCTTTCTAAAGACAGTTTTGCGTCCCAGATCTGTTTCTAATGGTCCCGGGGGCCCGACAAGTAGCCCCAGGAGGTCGAAATCGAGGAAAAACGCCCGAATTGAAAAAGCATTTCGCTGGAGGTCTGGGAACGTTTTCGTGGCCACGCATCGGCTGAAACGACCCTGGACTGGGTCTCGGGTGTGTCGCGCAGGTCGCTCGGAGCGGCGTGGGAACTGATTCACGAGTGACAAATGAGCGGCGGAAGAAAACGGACCGACTGCGCTGACATCGCGCGTCAGTTTCCCACGTAGTGTCGCGCGTAGGCGCCCTCGCTTCCGATGCGGTGTGCTGCGCTGGCGGCCCGCGTAAGCCTTCTCGTGCCCATTTAAGGTCGCTATGCTATCTCGCATGAGGCCCCTTTCCTTTCGTGGCCCACACAGGGGAAACGCTGCTCCTCGCCCGAGCCTGGTGTAGACGCGCGCGGGGATCACAGAGCCTTCGAGAAGGCACAACTCGTTACGCAAGGGGACGGTGCGCCAGGGGGCAATCAGGCCGCGCCCGAACGTATCGGCTGAAACGACCTGCCCCCCCCACCCCTTCGGTTTCGGAGCAGTCTTCCTAGAGGGCCTCCAGGGCCTTCTCACAAGGCCCCCGCCCTCCAGGAAGCCCTCTGGCCTCTCAGAAGGGCCGCCCCGCGCGTCCCCCCGCCTTGTGCAAGCCGCCAAACGTTCCCAGACATGTTATGCTTTGATTTTTCCCAACCATCCTGTGGTGTTGGGTCCTCGTTTTGAAGAGACGGTGGCCCGCGTCCCTCCTCTCCTCCTCCCCCTCCTTCCTCCCCCCTCCCATCGTCATCATCATGACACACCCCTCACACGTTTCGTGGCCCCACAGGGAGCTCAACCTACGGTCCCAGTGGCGCAGTTCGCATGGCGGCGCCGCCCCACTTTGGCACACCCCTCACACGTTTCGTGGCCCCACAGGGAACTCAACCTACGGTCCCAGTGGCGCAGTTCGCATGGCGGCGCCGCCCCACTTTGGCACACCCCTCACACGTTTCGTGGCCCCACAGGGAGCTCAACCTACGGTCCCAGTGGCGCAGTTCGCATGGCGGCGCCGCCCCACTTTGGCACACCCCTCACACGTTTCGTGGCCCCACAGGGAGCTCAACCTACGGTCCCAGTGGCGCAGTTCGCATGGCGGCGCCGCCCCACTTTGGCACACCCCTCACACGTTTCGTGGCCCCACAGGGAGCTCAACCTACGGTCCCAGTGGCGCAGTTCGCATGGCGGCGCCGCCCCACTTTGGCACACCCCTCACACGTTTCGTGGCCCCACAGGGAGCTCAACCTACGGTCCCAGTGGCGCAGTTCGCATGGCGGCGCCGCCCCACTTTGGCACACCCCTCACACGTTTCGTGGCCCCACAGGGAGCTCAACCTACGGTCCCAGTGGCGCAGTTCGCATGGCGGCGCCGCCCCACTTCGGCACACCCCTCACACGTTTCGTGGCCCCATCGGGAATTTCCCCTGCTGCGTCCCGCCTGCCCGGCGGCACTCGCACTTGCATATGGTTGGGCCCTTCGCTAGGATAATTTGAGTGCGCGGTCCCCGGAAGGCCCGACCCTTTCCCAGGGCCAGTTTTTATCCCGCGTTGTTTCTTGACTATCCCTGGGCCCAGTGAGGACCCCCATCGACCGCAATTTTCGAAAAGCCTCCGTCTTGACTTTTCCCAAGTGTGAGGCCTATGCCCAGGGTTCTCTTCTAGTGTGCGGGCCCGTGGCCCTGTGCAAGAAAGTCGTTGCGCAGGTGGCGCCGGAATTGCGCACGTGAAGATGTGTGTGCGGAAGAGGGGGGTCTCCAACATGCGTCTCGTCGCGCGTGCGTTTGGAACGTGTTTTCACCCGTTCATGGCGACAACGGTGCCCGTCGGGTATAGGTGTGTGTTTGTGTATACAATAAAGATCAAAACCGCCCCCCTGGCTTCGGGTCCCCCACCTCCCCGGAACATCTCGGGAACGCTCCGGGTAC